TAGTAAATTTGTTGTTTCAAGATCACTGTATATTTAATATTTCTCATGATTCTGGATTGGTACCCCCCGCCCCCCTTCCAGACAAACAGCAATATAGATGATACATCCCAAAAAATAAATATGAAATTAACTCACACACACACAAAGGTTTCAAGATACTGTGTATAATTTCATTCACAACTGTATTTTCAACTACATACATACGGAAACCAACCTGTCACTCGACCAGTTAATTGTTTCAAAATATTCTGCTTTGATATTAACTACATGTTTAATACACATGAAGAATTTCGTTTCCATAGATGTCCCCTCTGATTTATCCTTCCATAAAAGTACAATAAAATCCCAAGTGATATTCTCTGGTCAATACATAAAAATTACTTATAATCAACAATGTTTATTTAATTCTTTATAAAACGTCGCACACAAGCAGCTGCATTGGATACAAAATAGACAGTTTAAACTAAGCCAGATCACTCGACTAGTTTTCTCTCAGTTTGATCTTCGTCCTTCGATCTTTGATTACGTATAGGTTATTTTGAGGCAACGAGGGGATATGTGATTTATTCACCGAGGCGCGCAGCGCCGAGGTGAATAAACACATATCCCCGAGGTGCCTCAAAATAACGTACTTATTTTTCACACTGCGAGGTCGCGTTAATGAGTCAGAAAAGAAATAATTCTTAATGCCATTTTGCCTTCGCGATGTTGTTTTTTCCTCATTTTTTGTGCTGCAAAGACATTGCAGGTGAATATTAGAGGGGATTATTAATTGCAGGTGAATATTAGAGGGGATTATTAAACGGAAATTGATTAGAGGTGAATATTGAATATATTCCCCGATAAGAACAAAGGAAACCGAGCAGGGTGAAAAATAACGTTAGCTATTCCACAATTTGTTGAAAGAATGCTCGTAGAATGCATAGATAATATATACCCACTCTTAAATCTCACTAGGAAAGTTTTATTTATCATAATAATATGAAAACTCGAAAACATCGCGCCTTCGCGCTGCCATGTTTGATAAAATCAATCGGTTCCGCTCCCCCCTGATTGAAAACTAAATTATTACGAAATGTCCAATATTCTTGGAGTCACATGACCAGTGTTTACCAGGGCCACAGAAGAGATAATAGGACCAGAAGTCTTACTCAAGCGGAAACATGTCCCATCTTTTATACTGCGCATGCGCGAACTAAACAAGTGTAATGCAGTGTTGACAATAGAAAATTATATTGGCAAGTTGTCATTTCTACAGTAAAAACAGCTTTTTTTCAAGTGGTACGAAATGTGACTTCGATTTATCTGTGGAACTATTTGAACAGAAGGTAAGACATTAATTTTGTTGTATTTAGAAAGCAAGTTCGTGCATATTTTCATATTAATCACGTATTGTTCGAGCGCTATCCAAGTTGCTCGCAATATATTTTTGCTGTCTTCAACTTTATTTAAACACGGTACTATTTCACATTATATTAAAAATATATTATTTACAAAAACAACCAGAAAAAACTGATCTTCCAATAGGCCGTGTGCTAACTACAATAAATATAAAAAAATTTTATGACTTAACATTATATCAATCTGCATTGTTTTACCCCACTATTAAAAGTTGCTATACTTCCTAACGACTTCAGGTCAATTGAGAGAGCATTCCAAGTCTCGGCACCTCTGTAGGCCAATGATTTTTTCATAGCATTAGTATTTGCCATTGGTAATGTATAATTAAATTCACTATGCCTAGTGTTATGATTATGGACTTCTTGCGTATTGATGAAAATATCCTGCAGGTAGTTTGGAAGCATTTTATGTTTAATCTTATACATTAATGTAGCAAGTTGTTGTTCCGTTCTTGTTTGCAGATCAGAAAATCCTGCCCTGATTAGAATATCTTTTGATCGCGTTTCATATCCTTCACGGGTAATAATACGAAACGCTCTATTTTGGAGACGCTGAAGTTTATCTGATAAAACCTTTCCTAAGCAACCCCAAACTTGTGAGCAATAATCAAAGTGTGGTTGGATTATTGGTTTATAAACAGTTATTAAAGTATTATAATCAACAATATCCCGCAGTCTTCTAATAATGCTGAGTCTCTGCACTGCAAACAGTCCTCTGTCCTGAATATCAGCTATCTCCCTATATTTTCAGCCTGTATGTTAGAGAACTTTTTCGTCTGGCAACTACAATTCATTCATGATTAATTTTATGTTTGTTTTTGTAGGATAATACTTCGGACCAACTGAACAGCTGGATGGATAATACTTCGGACCAACTGAACAGCTGAATGGATAATATTTTAGAACCTGATATGCCGTTGACTGCAAGTACAATTTGTCATTGAATTTAAAGACTGGGGAAAGGATTGTACAGCGTGGTGATATAACAATTATAAATGAAACAGTGATTTGAACTGTAGTGTGCATGTATTCATTGTTTGGACATGAAAAATAATTGTTGTCAGACATGTATAAATATCTTAAAAAAAAAGTAAGAAACATTTCTCTAATAGCATGATCCCATGGCTTAACTGCACGTTGTGTTTGCCTGTTTGGAGTTATGTATTCCAGTGCACATTTTGAATTAGTAAGTAGGTTGACGTGGCTTTAATACTTCAGGTAGTTGTATCCATATAAATCTTGGAACAATGAGCTAGTCTATCCCCTTTTGTTTGTGATAGACCTTGGGAAATGGATTGCTGAGGGAGAGTGCCACACCACCCATCGGCTACTTACTACCCATATAAGTGCTACTCACACTCTGAGTGGGCAAGGACCTGTATCAAACCTGCAACCTTTCGATTACAAGGCTAATTCTCAGGTACATTAATGCCTGGGTCGACCAAGATTGTAAATTCAAGAAAATATATTAAAATTTATAAAAATCAACGAAGCCTTCAATTGTTACCGCTCAAGTATTATAACATTTGTTAAGACAGGGGCTTGAAGTTAAGCTACATTTAGTTGTCATGGCAACTATCACGTGACATATATCACGGATAATAACACGTAAAATGGCTTCTTTGGCTCTGCAGCAGCATAATTCATGCCCAAGATAACGCAGAATTGCGATAATCAGCCACTCCTGATACTAATGTTTATCAGTTAAACTCAGAAAGTTGACATTCATTACTCGTTTCATTGTTTTACGAGTTTAGAATAAGATGGTTAGCACTATAGGACGTATAATTGACACATTAAATGGTATTCTTTTCATAAATGTACGCTTTCCATATATTCCTAAGAAACTTTGATCCCCTGTCAATGTTTTTAGTTGATAATGCAGTAAGAATACTTTAGATTTATACTGCTGCAAGCCAAACGCGTTCTTCGCGTGATATAAATAATATCCGTTGCCATCATGAAATCGCGCCAGCGCCACTATCAGCATGGATGCAGCGGCTAAACACGATAATATTGTTATTTCCATGGTGATTTGTTTAACAACATGGCGGACAAAGTCAGAAGCAAGTTTTTATTTGGTTTTTATCTTTCTTAGCAAATTTTTTGTATTCTTAACAATAAATAGCGCGCTCCAAATACCACAATTACACCAATGACAGACGATATTACACAAAATATAAGTGTGCCTATAGTATTTGTTTCTGTAATACAATTAAAAGCACTTCTGCGTTATATGCACATATTCGCCGAAAGTATAAGAACTTTTCATCATATTATTCAGCGACAAATGCGCACAAAAATGTATATACATTTAAGTGGCTTATCGAGTTATCACAAGATCAGTGACGCAAATCCGCAAGTTTCAAATTTTGGCGCAAATTACAAAACTTTCTACAGCTGTGAAGAACGCAATCCTTAGCTCGGTAAAATTTAGTCTATTTTCTTCACTTTATATACAGCTAGTACTTTTATAATCTCACCGCATTTAAGGCAAGACGTTTCTCAATGTGTGGGTCGTTCCTTCATCCTTTGACGTGCGGCTTTGCGCGAGGAGTTGCTTGGCAAGTGTCAACGCAAGTAGACGCAGATGAAAATCTAAAGTGCGAAGAGAACGAGACACGAAAGAATTATCTTGTGCGCTTGCTGCGAGAGAGATATGATCGCTTTACTGTCATATTCCAATGTTACAAGGAGAATTTTACCGTTGACTTCAAGCGCTTTCAGTCAATTTTTCCACCACTTCGCGAGAAATTTAGTCGATGGAATCATAGAAAGATCGCAGAGCGCAATCAATACACGGCGATGTTCAACATCGAAACTTGGAATAAACTTTCTCCGGCGATGCAAATTAAACATACATTCCAAAATTGTAAGCAATGTCAGCTGAAATACAGTCACATACAAGTTTTATTTCCTACCAAATGCAAGAGGTTCACCGGTTTAATGAAGGAGAACAATCCCAAAGTCGCGAACAAAGCCATTAAAGTCCAACTGCCAAGTCAACCAGGGAGTACCACTCTCCGTGAAGCAGGTGAGACTGCAAAGTCTTTATACGACCTGGTGAACCCCATGTTTGAAAAGATCACTGGACATTCTCTTGTTAAAGCATTGACCAAAGTAAAAGATCTCAATATTGAGGAGAAGAAGTCTAAAGCTGAAAAAAAACGAACAGTAAGAAATAATTATAGAAAATTCAAGGAAGCAGTAGAAACAGAATGGGAAAATATATCTTTTATCAGGTATCTAAAAATAATCAAATGGGTAGCTGGGGTGACTGATGCATATATACAGTAGGTAAACCAAGAAGCCGGGGTAGCCAGCAAGATACCATATTCATCCGGGGTAACTGGACCCCGTGAGGTAGCCATATCATACCCAGCTGGGGTAGCTAGATCTCATATCAAGCCGGGGTAACCATATATATATATATATATATATATATATATATATATATATATATATATATATATATATATATATATATATATATATATATATATATATATAGTTGATAGTTTATATATATATATATATATATATATATATATATATAATTAACGTTACAAATATCTTAAAATAACATTTTTTTTCGCTACTCTGAGTTTCACGATCTTGTCTGATCGATCTTCAGGCGATTTATGTCCGTTTAATTAGTTTGTTTGACTTCGTGATTTTCGTTGACGCACGCGCTTGCATGCGATGAAAACTTCCAGCTTGGAACCGATCTTTATGGCGACATTTTCCGAAGATTTCCGATTGTTTATTAAGTAACGTTTTCTGGTCTGCTTTCATAATGGATAGTTTCTCCTCGTTACACAGATTACATCGCGTGCTACCGGACGCGTAGGGTGTTGAATGTTTCAGAATAGACCAATTGATGGCAAAAGCCTTCCCTTTAAATTTAAGTTCCCATATATACTTCGACAGTTCAGTTTCTTTCTCATACCGAATAAGATTAAAAGATTTCTTATGGTTGCGGTATCTTTCTTTAAATGAATTTGCTGTCATGCCTATATATTCCTTCTTCAAACCGTCATCCAGGGATGTTACAACTGCTTTGTATACGATACTCTCAGCTTGAATTGGTCTATTCTGAAACATTCAACACCCTACGCGTCCGGTAGCACGCGATGTAATCTGTGTAACGAGGAGAAACTATCCATTATGAAAGCAGACCAGAAAACGTTACTTAATAAACGATCGGAAATCTTCGGAAAATGTCGCCATAAAGATCGGTTCCAAGCTGGAAGTTTTCATCGCATGCAAGCGCGTGCGTCAACGAAAATCACGAAGTCAAACAAACTAATTAAACGGACATAAATCGCCTGAAGATCGATCAGACAAGATCGTGAAACTCAGAGTAGCGAAAAAACATGTTATTTTAAGATATTTGTAACGTTAATTATATATATATATATATATTTATATATATATATATTTATATATATATATATATATATATATATATATATATATATATATATATATATATATATATATATATATATATATATATATATATATATATATAATACCTAGCCATGGTAACTAGATATAATACCGGGCCAGGGTAGCTGGATATGATACCCAGCCGGGGTAGCTAGATATCATACCTAGCCAGGGCAGCTAGATATCATACCCAGCCAAGGGTAGCTAGATACCCAGCCAGGGTAACTAATGTGACTCAGAGGTAAAAAATATTCAGCCAGGGTATAGGTATAGTGAGATATCATATCAAGCTGGGGTACCTAATCCTGTAAAAATATACAGCTGGAATATCTAGTGAGATATCATACCCAGCCTGTGAGCTGGGGGTAACTAATAGTCTATAGTGAGGTAAAAGTATCCAGATGGAGTAGCTGGTGAGATATAATTAGTGATAATGAAATATAATTGTATTTAATAGATGCTTTGGAAATCGACAATCATTAGCAGGAAGACAAAGGGAAAGATTATCAATGTGTTTTGAGAGTAAAGAAAATGCAGCTGAACGCACAAGGGAGCAGAAACAACAAGGGAAGCAGAAAAGTCCTGTTGGCAAGTTTGCTAACATGGAATGGGATAAGCAAGGGATGAAAGATGAAGTTAATAGTTATGGAGATGACACTTTGGTCAACTGGTCTGAGTTAGCAAGACAATTCCAAATCAAAAACAAAACTGGAGAGTTAGCTCAAAACGGTGGTCAAATTGCTATGGAGTGGCTGAAGTCGGAAGGAGTTAATGTGGAAAGATTTAAGAAAAGAAGAACAGAATGTAATGAGGGCAATATAAGAAAAAAATTAAGAAGAGGTGCAGGTGGTGAAATCACTGTTCCATGTCCTGAAACCAATGGAAAAGTGCTGAAAAAATTGCAAGAAAAAGTTTTGTCAGGCGAAATAAATGTTGGGGAGCTAATAGTGCCAAGAAAGGTAATTAAATCGCAATAATTATATAAAATTATCAGGTTTTAGACATTTTAAATAACTGGAAATTATTTCAAAAAATATTAAAATATTAATATACCACTGAAAATCAATTCAAATATACTGTACCAGTAGTCAGATTTATGTACAGTAGTAATAATTAATATAAGGAAATTATAGTTTAGAGATTGCAATAGTTTTTGTGATTCTTATTCCTAAATACTGGTATTGAAGTAGAAAAGCTAGTACTGTAAATGTTAATAAAATAGTAAAGGTTCACAGTAGATTTAAACTGTTTACATTTTACCAGTGAGCTAGTTTTAATTAAAATCAAATAATTTTCATTCTTGTTTAGTATGAGAAGCTAGTGCTCAAAGAGGTTGGGATCGGAGGTTGGGATCGAAGCAAATGCCACTGGTTGAGATCAGGAGAAGAAAGCTACACGAGTTGGAGAAATATATGCGAATTAATGATGAGAAAGATGTGGATAGCATGAGTGTGACAGAAGTTGAGAACAGGTTGACAATGCTGAATGAGAGAAAAGAGGGTGAGGATGAAACAGAGATGAGAGAGCGGCTAAAGGTAATGGAAAGAACACGGCATCTACTAGTATGGCATGACCTATCTACAGTAGCGAACCATTCTCACCTTGTCTTTATGGCAACCTGCTTATATGACCAAGCCTCATTCTATACCAACAGTGAATATAAAGCCATCACTGGGAAAAAAGTAAATATCCAGTCATTAGTTGAAGCACCAAGTCTGTACATTGTAGCAAGGTCCTCATCCTGTGATGAAGATCAATTATGTTACATTGAGACCAGACTTGACTGTTTAGAGGAACTCTCAGACCCCACTACTACAACCACTGGTGTACCTGTTGCAGACAAGATGAGGTTTTTCCACGGTGACAGTCCTTCTCGTCAATATGAAGCTGGTCAACAGAAAGGTGGGAATTTCTACTGTGCCGTGTGTGGTGCCAATGCTCATCGGGTGCATGAACTTGATTATGTTTTTCGTTGCCCACATGTATCACTGGAGGATCGACAACAGTTGGTGTTAACAGGTCCACATGGTAAAGCAAATTCTTTGGCAAAGTCAAATAAACCTTTCCATGGATTAATAAAACCCAACTTGATCAGGGAGTTGAATGCCAGATCAATCTATGAAGGAGAAAAAAAGAAAGAATTAGAGGATCTCTTGAAGGATGAGCTGCATGGAGTTCAAAGAGTACCAGCCCTACTTTTCATCAGTCCCAACAAAACCTTAGAGTCAATTAACTGTGCTGGTTATGAGATTCTAGGTTTTGAACCCCTCCACGACATTGGGAAGCATATCGAAAATCTATTTTGTGAGCTACCAGACCATCTGCCAACCAACAATGAAGCTTCTAAGTTGAAGGCTATTCTTGAATTGTGCATTGGGGGGAAAGACACAAAGCGAACCATTGATTACCGGTGTGCTTTGATTGTTGTTTCAAATCAGCTTAGAGGCTCCGTTAATCCAAAGGTTCAATTGTTGCTTGACACCCTTGTTGAAATTCAAGAAGTAGCCTACAACTCAGAAGAGCACAGAACACCACGATCAGTTCTGAGATCTCATAACCTTACCTGGCGTCACGCAATGTTGTGCAGGTCAGTTATCGGGTTTTCCTTGAAGCAAATGTCAACACGAAAGTTTTACGGTAACTACTTCCACAACATTTCAGCACATGCACCAATCCAGAACAGACTGATAAGCGGCCGATCTGCAAACACCGAAGAACAGGAACGAGTATTCAATAGCATCAACAACATAACCCGAATGACATCTTCTAACCATCCCGAGCACATCATTGGCAACGTCTTTATCCGAGTCCAGGCTGAAAAGGAATTGAAAGCTGAACAACCATCAACCTCTCACACACAAGAAGCTCATGTTTCCAAACTTGCATCTTCTCTTCCAAATTTTGGAAACACTGTTATTCCTAAACAGATGCTAGTAAGTAATTTCAGACCTTGGCAAGCTCATCTTGAAAGGATCTGTGATTTCTTATTAGCAGGTGAAGGAATTTGGTGGAGAACATGCAACAATGGTGACATTGAGTTTTTTGATGCGAAGGGAAATCCTGAAGCAGTTCCTCAAGGACCGACCTTGCACCATTTCCGCTCCAGCAACTTTAAAAAAGAGGAAGCTTACTTAAAGCACTGTTGGCAAACATGCTTAAAGAAAAAAATAGAAATGCCAGTCAAAGTACTTCAGATTGAAAATACCGAAGGTAACATGGTATTTATGGATACAAACCAGGAGAGGGAAGGTATGGAAGTTGGATGTGCAGGGAGGGCCATTGTTGCTCAAGGTTGTATGCCAGAACGTGAAGATATTGGTGTTGTTGATGAGAGTGTGGTTGGATGTGATGCAGTAGTTGGTTGTGATGCTGAGTTAGGTTGTGATGCTGTGGTTGCAGGTGGTGACGATGTGGTTGGTTGTGATGATGTTGCACAAACAGGTGAGCTAGAAGTGGATGTTGAATATAATGTAAGGTTAGTTGAGGTTTCCGAAGATAATGTTGTTTGTTTTGAGAATGATCATCAGGGTGAAGCTAATGAAACTGGTTCAAATTCTGAAGCAAACACTATGAAACCAAAAAATAGGGATAAAGGTAATGGTACCAATATTTGTATTACATTACTGCAATAATTATTGTTCTATTATCCACAAATAGCCTTAAGTTAAATAGCTATTTTAATTCAATAATCGGGTGTGAATATTTCTTTGCCTACTTTAATTAAACACATTTGGTCTTGTTTATTTCTAGGAGACGATATGAAACAGACAGCACAGACAAAACAAGGACAAAAATTAGGATATATTTTGGGACTGACCGAGGATGTGTTGCAGTTTGATAAGGAAAGAAAAGAATTACGGGCTTCACCCCAAAACACGGAACTCATAAACAAATACTTACACGTCTTACCAGTCATGGAAACCAAGTTACTGCACGAACAGACCAACATCAAACAACAGCTGAAGAACATCGAGCGGCAACACGTTCATAAGAATGGTACACTACTAACAACGAAAAGCTTGTTAAAAGATCCAACTTCGAAACTGCTGATGGACAAATTAAAATACTGTAAAGCCCTAACGTATCAGTGGAAAGTAGAAAGAAAATGAAGAAAATTAAACAGATTAAAGATGATAAAACGGCTCTTAAGAGCCACCAAATATTTGAAAGAATATAAGCAATTAATTTTAAGCCATTAATAATCAATTAATAACTTTTAAAGTACATAATTAAGCATTACAAACGTTTCGTTCCTAAGCGACCACAGACGACACAGGTTCCCCAATCTGAGTATTCAAACTCATTTAATATGATCATTATTTATACATTTACATAACTTTAATACAAAATAAAGCTATAGTTTACCAGAGGTTTAATACGATATAAACTCGTATAATTCTGTATCAGTTAATTTTTTCAAATAAGTCCAAGGTGCGACTTTAAACTTTAATACGATTCACTTAAAATGTGAACTTCTGATTGTCGTTACCAGTCTGTTGACAAAACGCATTGTTTGCGTGATATAATATGTTGGCGTTTGTTGGCGCAATTTCGCGCAGTTGGCGCTAAAATCAATTTTGCTTCGGGAACCGTGATCACAATTTCTTATTGAATTTCTATAATATAGTATATTCCCATTCATTTTCTTTGTTGTTCACATCGCTAAAATCATAATGGAGGAAGCTAACAACGAAATAAGTCAGTTGCAAAAGCAGAGGAGAATGCGAAATTGCCGCAAGAAACGGAGGAGACAAGAGCGAGCGTTAGCCAACCGCATGGTTAATGAAGAGGTTTTAGCGCAGAAAATAAGCGGAGCCGTGAAGGAGCAGAAAGCACTCGCTGAGAAATATTATACCAAGTGGAAAAACATTTCTAAAGAAGCAAACGAACTTCGACGTAAAATACCGGCACAAAGTCGCAAGAGAAAGGTATGATTTTGCTTCAAGAATAGTTGGAATGTGATATATTTTGGATACAGTAATATATTTATTATAGACCTAGCCCTAAGCCCAGGACACCCCCACTCTAATACTGCACCCCCTGTATACTTCACATACAGGTATACTGCTGTAAATAGATTTATTAAATATCATTGAAGTTCATGCTAGTTAAATCAATAAGTTCTCTTCTCTATTGTACAATTAAGCATCCTCTCCAATAAATTCCCACTCAAATGTGCCAAGGGAGGGGGGGGGGGATGGTTATTACATGATTTGTGGTGCTGTGTAACCCATCAAATCATGTGGCGACACCTAGACTACAGTACATAAAGTAAAGGTAAAGCTAAAAATATTTTACAACATTTATTATTGAAAATATCAAGTGTCGGATATTAAATATTGACTGAGACCAGTGATTCTGAAAGGAAACAGTATGTTTTGCTGACTGAGGCATACAGTGTTTGACAAAACATGCTGTTTCCCAAACAACAACAATAACAACAACATCAGTCAATAATATTTCATTATACTTGCCAAGTGTAAAAATTGTCCAAATCATTGAAACAAACTATATACATGCCCTCATGGTTTTTGCCAGGATTAGCAACATTCATGCAGTAGCTGTTATCGTAATTGAATACGCCGCTGCAGCGAACCAGCGGTATCTCAGTGGAAGTACGCACGAAAACCGAAAACGAGGCTAAAGGGTCAAAAAACAAAAAACATGACCCTATAGCCTCGTCTCCATGTCAAAATAATGCAGATACCGCTGGTCCGTAGCATAGACGTGTTCAATTACAATAACAGCTATTTTGGCAAATGTCAACATCACTAGTACTGTTATACCTTAATACACCCTTCCGGAATGTGCAGAACATCATTGGCTATAGAGTACAGAATCTCGTTTTCAGGTATATGATGTAAAACCTAGCATCTCAACCATGAAAACATGGCTCTGTAGCCAAGACGATGTACTTTCTGGAAGCATGTATTGTGCTCACCACCATATAATAACTTATACCAATAAATATTGAGAGGGATTAAAAGTACAATACCAGATTTACTATTTGTTGGCTACATTAATTTTTACATAGAAATTTAATTCTATTACTAATGTTATAGGTTTTAATGGATACTGCTGCAACTGGTAATGCCTCACTAACCAAAATGAGTACTGCTTCAGTAAAACAAATTAGGCCATGTGAGTTGTTGCCATTGGAAGTAAATAACTCAGCCACTATTCCTGTTGGCTCTGGAACCTATGGGGATTGTTTTCTTAAAACGTTTAAGAGATTTGGGATTACTGTTGTTGAGAAGAAGCTGACAACATCTGATTTAAAAGCAGTTATGAATGAGGCACAATATATGAATACACTAACTCATGCATCTATTCCCTATTTATTAGGGGTCCAAATTGAAGAAAAACCTTTCTCTTTAGTTATGCAGTTTGTTGGTGATGAGAATTTGGAATCAGTAACAATTCATAAGTTGTTGCACCAAACCATACCAAAACATTTGTTACTTTCCGCAAATGAGTGGATCTCAGTTTTACTTGACATTGCAGAAGCTCTTTTTCATGTTCACATCAAGGGTTTTTTGCACTGTGATGTCAAGTCAAACAATGTTCTTGTTACAGAAAAGAAAGGTTTTCTGATAGACTTTGGTAAGGCTTGCTTAATTTCTAGGCCAAAAGCTCGAAAGTACACTTCTTTTTACAACCATATTGCCACAGAAGTTTTGCGAGGTCAGCCTGAGAGTGCATCCAGTGACGTTTTTTCGTTTGGGGTAATAATATATACCATTGAAAAGAAATTGCCAAACGCCTGTCTGGAATCCTTAGGAAGGCATTGCAAAGATGCCAAGCCAGCATCGAGACCAACTATGCCAGAAGTAATGAGAATCTTGAAGGAAATGTACAATGAAGGCTGTAATTTTGCCAGCACCTGCACCTATATACACAAATTGCAGAAATTAAGACGTTATAACAAACCTGAATTGCCTGGCATTATACAGAGTAAAATAGCAGGGCCGGGTGCATTAGTAGTATAGGGAAAGAAAAGAATTACGGGCTTCACCCCAAAACACGGAACTCATAAACAAATACTTACACGTCTTACCAGTCATGGAAACCAAGTTACTGCACGAACAGACCAACATCAAACAACAGCTGAAGAACATCGAGCGGCAACACGTTCATAAGAATGGTACACTACTAACAACGAAAAGCTTGTTAAAAGATCCAACTTCGAAACTGCTGATGGACAAATTAAAATACTGTAAAGCCCTAACGTATCAGTGGAAAGTAGAAAGAAAATGAAGAAAATTAAACAGATTAAAGATGATAAAACGGCTCTTAAGAGCCACCAAATATTTGAAAGAATATAAGCAATTAATTTTAAGCCATTAATAATCAATTAATAACTTTTAAAGTACATAATTAAGCATTACAAACGTTTCGTTCCTAAGCGACCACAGACGACACAGGTTCCCCAATCTGAGTATTCAAACTCATTTAATATGATCATTATTTATACATTTACATAACTTTAATACAAAATAAAGCTATAGTTTACCAGAGGTTTAATACGATATAAACTCGTATAATTCTGTATCAGTTAATTTTTTCAAATAAGTCCAAGGTGCGACTTTAAACTTTAATACGATTCACTTAAAATGTGAACTTCTGATTGTCGTTACCAGTCTGTTGACAAAACGCATTCGCAAACAATTTCGCGCAGTTGGCGCTAAAATCAATTTTGCTTCGGGAACCGTGATCACAATTTCTTATTGAATTTCTATAATATAGTATATTCCCATTCATTTTCTTTGTTGTTCACATCGCTAAAATCATAATGGAGAAAGCTAACAACGAAATAAGTCAGTTCCAAAAGAAGAGGAGAATGCGAAATTGCCGCAAGAAACGGAGGAGACAAGAGCGAGCGTTAGCCAACCGCATGGTTAATGAAGAGGTTTTAGCGCAGAAAGTAAATGCAGCCGTGAAGGAGCAGAAAGCACTCGCTGAGAAATATTTACCAAGTGGAAAAACATTTCTAAAGAAGCAAACGAACTTCGACGTAAAATACCGGCACAAAGTCGCAAGAGAAAGGTATGATTTTGCTTCAAGAATAGTTGGAATGTGATATATTTTGGATACAGTAATATATTTATTATAGACCTAGCCCTAAGCCCAGGACACCCCCACTCTAATACTGCACCCCCTGTATACTTCACATACAGGTATACTGCTGTAAATAGATTTATTAAATATCATTGAAGTTCATGCTAGTTAAATCAATAAGTTCTCTTCTCTATTGTACAATTAAGCATCCTCTCCAATAAATTCCCACTCAAATGTGCCAAGGGAGGGGGGGGGGGATGGTTATTACATGATTTGTGGTGCTGTGTAACCCATCAAATCATGTGGCGACACCTAGACTACAGTACATAAAGTAAAGGTAAAGCTAAAAATATTTTACAACATTTATTATTGAAAATATCAAGTGTCGGATATTAAATATTGACTGAGACCAGTGATTCTGAAAGGAAACAGTATGTTTTGCTGACTGAGGCATACAGTGTTTGACAAAACATGCTGTTTCCCAAACAACAACAATAACAACAACATCAGTCAATAATATTTCATTATACTTGCCAAGTGTAAAAATTGTCCAAATCATTGAAACAAACTATATACATGCCCTCATGGTTTTTGCCAGGATTAGCAACATTCATGCAATAGCTGTTATCGTAATTGAATACGCCGCTGCGGCGAACCAGCGGTATCTCAGTGGAAGTAAGCACGGAAACGAGGCTAAAGGGTAAAAAAACAAAAAACATGACCCTATAGCCTCGTCTCCATGTCAAAATAATGCAGATACCGCTGGTCCGTAGCATAGACGTGTTCAATTACAATAACAGCTATTTTGGCAAATGTCAACATCACTAGTACTGTTATACCTTAATACACCCTTCCGGAATGTGCAGAACATCATTGGCTATAGAGTACAGAATCTCGTTTTCAGGTATATGATGTAAAACCTAGCATCTCAACCATGAAAACATGGCTCTGTAGCCAAGACGATGTACTTTCTGGAAGCATGTATTGTGCTCACCACCATATAATAACTTATACCAATAAATATTGAGAGGGATTAAAAGTACAATACCAGATTTACTATTTGTTGGCTACATTAATTTTTACATAGAAATTTAATTCTATTACTAATGTTATAGGTTTTAATGGATACTGCTGCAACTGGTAATGCCTCACTAACCAAAATGAGTACTGCTTCAGTAAAACAAATTAGGCCATGTGAGTTGTTGCCATTGGAAGTAAATAACTCAGCCACTATTCCTGTTGGCTCTGGAACCTATGGGGATTGTTTTCTTAAAACGTTTAAGAGATTTGGGATTACTGTTGTTGAGAAGAAGCTGACAACATCTGATTTAAAAGCAGTTATGAATGAGGCACAATATATGAATACACTAACTCATGCATCTATTCCCTATTTATTAGGGGTCCAAATTGAAGAAAAACCTTTCTCTTTAGTTATGCAGTTTGTTGGTGATGAGAATTTGGAATCAGTAACAATTCATAAGTTGTTGCACCAAACCATACCAAAACATTTGTTACTTTCCGCAAATGAGTGGATCTCAGTTTTACTTGACATTGCAGAAGCTCTTTTTCATGTTCACATCAAGGGTTTTTTGCACTGTGATGTCAAGTCAAACAATGTTCTTGTTACAGAAAAGAAAGGTTTTCTGATAGACTTTGGTAAGGCTTGCTTAATTTCTAGGCCAAAAGCTCGAAAGTACACTTCTTTTTACAACCATATTGCCACAGAAGTTTTGCGAGGTCAGCCTGAGAGTGCATCCAGTGACGTTTTTTCGTTTGGGGTAATAATATATACCATTGGAAAGAAATTGCCAAACGCCTGTCTGGAATCCTTAGGAAGGCATTGCAAAGATGCCAAGCCAGCATCGAGACCAACTATGCCAGAAGTAATGAGAATCTTGAAGGAAATGTACAATGAAGGCTGTAATTTTGCCAGCACCTGCACCTATATACACAAATTGCAGAAATTAAGACGTTATAACAAACCTGAATTGCCTGGCATTATACAGAGTAAAATAGCAGGGCCGGGTGCATTAGTAGTATAGGGAAAGAAAAGAATTACGGGCTTCACCCCAAAACACGGAACTCATAAACAAATACTTACACGTCTTACCAGTCATGGAAACCAAGTTACTGCACGAACAGACCAACATCAAACAACAGCTGAAGAACATCGAGCGGCAACACGTTCATAAGAATGGTACACTACTAACAACGAAAAGCTTGTTAAAAGATCCAACTTCGAAACTGCTGATGGACAAATTAAAATACTGTAAAGCCCTAACGTATCAGTGGAAAGTAGAAAGAAAATGAAGAAAATTAAACAGATTAAAGATGATAAAACGGCTCTTAAGAGCCACCAAATATTTGAAAGAATATAAGCAATTAATTTTAAGCCATTAATAATCAATTAATAACTTTTAAAGTACATAATTAAGCATTACAAACGTTTCGTTCCTAAGCGACCACAGACGACACAGGTTCCCCAATCTGAGTATTCAAACTCATTTAATATGATCATTATTTATACATTTACATAACTTTAATACAAAATAAAGCTATAGTTTACCAGAGGTTTAATACGATATAAACTCGTATAATTCTGTATCAGTTAATTTTTTCAAATAAGTCCAAGGTGCGACTTTAAACTTTAATACGATTCACTTAAAATGTGAACTTCTGATTGTCGTTACCAGTCTGTTGACAAAACGCATTGTTTGCGTAATATAATATGTTGGCGTTTGTTGGCGCAATTTCGCGCAGTTGGCGCTAAAATCAATTTTGCTTCGGGAACCGTGATCACAATTTCTTATTGAATTTCTATAATATAGTATATTCCCATTCATTTTCTTTGTTGTTCACATCGCTAAAATCATAATGGAGGAAGCTAACAACGAAATAAGTCAGTTGCAAAAGCAGAGGAGAATGCGAAATTGCCGCAAGAAACGGAGGAGACAAGAGCGAGCGTTAGCCAACCGCATGGTTAATGAAGAGGTTTTAGCGCAGAAAATAAGCGGAGCCGTGAAGGAGCAGAAAGCACTCGCTGAGAAATATTATACCAAGTGGAAAAGCATTTCTAAAGAAGCAAACGAACTTCGACGTAAAATACCGGCACAAAGTCACAAGAGAAAGGTATGATTTTGCTTCAAGAATAGTTGGAATGTGATATATTTTGGATACAGTAATATATTTATTATAGACCTAGCCCTAAGCCCAGGACACCCCCACTCTAATACTGCACCCCCTGTATACTTCACATACAGGTATACTGCTGTAAATAGATTTATTAAATATCATTGAAGTTCATGCTAGTTAAATCAATAAGTTCTCTTCTCTATTGTACAATTAAGCATCCTCTCCAATAAATTCCCACTCAAATGTGCCAAGGGAGGGGGGGGGGGATGGTTATTACATGATTTGTGGTGCTGTGTAACCCATCAAATCATGTGGCGACACCTAGACTACAGTACATAAAGTAAAGGTAAAGCTAAAAATATTTTACAACATTTATTATTGAAAATATCAAGTGTCGGATATTAAATATTGACTGAGACCAGTGATTCTGAAAGGAAACAGTATGTTTTGCTGACTGAGGCATACAGTGTTTGACAAAACATGCTGTTTCCTGCCAAACAACAACAACAACATCAGTCAATAATATTTCATTATACTTGCCAAGTGTAAAAATTGTCCAAATCATTGAAACAAACTATATACATGCCCTCATGGTTTTTGCCAGGATTAGCAACATTCATGCAATTTTGGCAAAATGTCAAACATCACTAGTACTGTTATACCTTACTTAATACACCCTTCCGGAATGTGCAGAACATCATTGGCTATAGAGTATAGAATCTCGTTTTCAGGTATATGATGTAAAACCTAGCATCTCACCATGAAAACATGGCTCTGTAGCCAAGACGATGTACTTTCTGGAAGCATGTATTGTACTCACCACCACATAATAACTTATACCAATAAATATTGAGAGGGATTAAAAGTACAATACCAGACTTACTATTTGTTGGCTACCGTACATTAATTTTTACATAGAAATTTAATTCTATTACTAATGTTATAGGTTTCAATGGATACTGCTGCAACTGGTAATGCCTCACTAACCAAAATGAGTACTGCTTCAGTAAAACAAATTAGGCCATGTGAGTTGTTGCCATTGGAAGTAAATAACTCAGCCACTATTCCTGTTGGCTCTGGAACCTATGGGGATTGTTTTCTTAAAACGTTTAAGAGATTTGGGATTACTGTTGTTGAGAAGAAGCTGCCAACATCTGATTTAAAAGCAGTTATGAATGAGGCACAATGTATGAATACACTAACTCATGCATCTATTCCATATTTATTAGGGGTCCAAATTGAAGAAAACCCTTTCTCTTTAGTTATGCAGTTTGTTGGTGATGAGAATTTGGAATCAGTAACAATTCATAAGTTGTTGCACCAAACCATACCAAAACATTTGTTACTTTCTGCAAATGAGTGGATTTCAGTTTTACTTGACATTGCAGAAGCTCTTTTTCATGTTCACATGAAGGGTTTTTTGCACTGTGATGTCAAGTCAAACAATGTTTTGTTACAGGAAAGAAAGGTTTTCTGATAGACTTTGGTAAGGCTTGCTTAATTTCTAGGCCAAAAGCTCGAAAGTACACTTCTTTTTACAACCATATTGCCACAGAGGTTTTGCGAGGTCAGCCTGTGAATACATCCAGTGACGTTTTTTCGTTTGGGGTAATCATATATACCATTGGAAAGAAATTCCCAAACGCCTGTCTGGAATCCTTAGGAAGGCATTGCAAAGATGCGAAGCCAGCGTCGAGACCAACTATGCCAGAAGTAATGAGAATCTTGAAGGAAAATGTAGAATGAAGGCTGTAATTTTGCCAGCACCTGCACCTATATACACAAATTGCAGAAATTAAGACGTATAAACAAACCTGAATTGCCTGGCATTATACAGAGTAAAATAGCAGGGCCGGGAGAATTGCCACTATGTACATTAGAAAAACTATTTACAATGATCACTCCAACTATTTTCATTCTCTAAATTGCTAAAATATATGTTGTCAAGAGTCTTTAGTCAGGTGTCCAGTGGAAACTCACCATGTAAAAGTACAGATAAATTAAAATTAAAAGATTAAATTATAAATTAAACTAAATAGAATACTGTGAATAGTGGAAACTTATGTTGTCAAGACTTCAAGTCTTTAGTCAGCAGGTTGTCAAGACCTAGAGTCTTTCGGCAGCCAGTGGAAACTGTTTTACAGTATGGATAGTGTAATTAAACATTTAATTAAATGATAAATTAAACTAGTATACTGTGAATATAGTGGAAACTTATGTTGTCAAGACATTGAGTCTTTAGTAGCCAGTGGAAAATTAAGGTGCTTGCCCCTTGACAAGTAAAATTGTCTGGCATTAATAGACAGAGTAAATAATGTATTTCACGTTTGACCTAGAGTCTTTCAGCAGCCAGTGAAAACTGTTTTACAGTGTGGATAATATAAATAAACATTTAAATGATAAATTAATTAAGCTTAATATTATACCTGTACTGTAAATAGGGGAAACTTAGAGTATGTTGTCAAGACTTCAAGTCTTTAGTGAGCAAGTTGTCAAGACCTTAGAGTCTTTCAGCAGCCAGTGGAAAATTAAGGTGCTTGCCCCTTGACAAGTAAAATTGTCCGGCATTAATAGACAGAGTAAATAATGTATTTCACGTTTTAATATATAGTGTAGTCGCGTTAAGCTGTAAAAATGCTACATATATTATCATATTGTTTGTACAGTATACTACACACTGGCACTGCCTGGCACAAAACAAATGCCTTGGGGAGCTGTAAAAACGCTCTCCTTTTTGCATTTTCGTGTGATGTATTGTTGTTTAAATTGTTCTCGGATACTTAAATTGAAACATATTGCCATTCTGTTATCATTTTATGTTTCTATAAACAACGCCGCAACGTGATATTTTAGAAACAGCCTTTGGCAGGTCACTGGCAACAGCTGGATGTTCAAATATTCAAGGTTTAATACAAAGCTTCGCAGTCGCACAAGATAGATAGATAGATACATTGATAGATATTTAATTTGCCCTGTTTAATACATGATATAAAATTATCAAAAATAATAAGAGAATCTCGAGGAGGATAAATATTTCAACATTTGGTCTTGGAGCCATAGACTGAACTTAACCATTGTGGGTTTTTAGTTCTTGACAGTTGACTATAACATATAGTAAAAATTATGCATTTATTGGTGTATAAATTATAAAAATACTAACCTGGTAAACACACGCAAAGTTTTGAATCCATAAAAAGAATATACTCGCCATAATCTCTTGTAAGTTTTATAGTACTATTCAAAATATAAAACCCTTTTACATAATATCTCACTCTTGTATCACAGCCATGCGTCTCTAAAAATCGTGCGTGTTCCTCGCGTGCACTGATTGCTTAAAACGTGGGCAGACCCAGGCATTAATATAGCTGAGTTTTGGTTTGAATGTATTGAAGGTTATTTTGTCCAACACAGATGGTTTGAGCAGATACCTACAAGGGAAGCAGATGGATGTCGTTACGGCAAAGAAGAGTGTTGATGCCATGATCAAAACACTAAGTGGATGTCGTACCCAAGAAAATTTGGATCTGTTGTGGTCGCGCGCTGAAATCATGGCAGACAAAATCAAGGAACTAATTGAGGATACAGATTTCAATTTCGAAGATGCAAAGGTACCAAGACTCTGACAGCCATCACGCCGGCTGCAGGCACTTGTCGGCGAAACACCTGAAGTGAATGCACAAGTGGAGTACCGAGCAGCAGAAGACCACTATCGTATCACATGCTACTACCTAAGCATTGACAAGATTGTCGCGGAGATGAAATATAGATTTGAAGGTAATGATCAAGAGGTGCTATTGGCACTTGCAGACATTGTCTTCAGCAGCTCTCCAACCAGGGAGAATATTGAGTTGGTATCAGACTTCTATGGTATCGACAGTGAGCTTCTTGGCAGCGAGAAAAACGTCTTTGAGAATATTGACGCCAATCCTGAGAGAAAAAACATCACCAAAATTGTGAGAATGTTCGAAAATGGTGTTCATGAAGTTCTTCCTGTTGTTTACAAAGTATTTTCGATTCTGGCCACGATCCCTGCAACATCCTGCTTTACTGAGAGATCTTTCAGCGCTCGAAAACCTATCTTCAAAGTACAATGGGCCAAGAACGGTTAAACCGCATTGCCCTCATCAATGTTGAGAGAGCTTATGCAAATAGTACTTTAAAGAACGATATGGAAAAGATAATTGACATTTTTGGACGTGACGTAATTGTAAATCTTATTTCTTCTAGTCTACATCGTAGCAATCTTAACTAATTTATCATTGTGCTAAACTAAATTCCTTGCACGTCTAGTGCTATACATGAGAGAATTTCATATATCAAATAAAATGTTGTTACGTTAGTAACTTTCTCTTTCTTTGTAAATCATAATGAATATATTTAGCTTATAATTGAAATGGCTAGGGACGACATATTTCTTTTTATATCAATCTTCAAAGGAAAGCTTTTCATTTATAGTCTTCTCAGATTATATAATTTTATGATGACGTCACAAAATCTATGACGTCATGTCATTCGGGCAAATTCAGCCCAGCCCCCCCCCCAAAAAAAAAATGTGCCCGTACGCCTATGTTAAATTAGGCTTATGTTACTTAAGTTTCCACACGGGTTCGGTGTATTACTTATATTTATTTCGTACGTTTTCCTCGGTATTTTACAACGCTTTTTTCGATAACTCTCAAAACTAAATCAAGACAACATGTTTTTTATATCCGGGCATTTTCCCGTTACGTCATACTATATCAAGTTCCGGTATCTAATTTCCGGGTGCTAATTCCGGTGGGCTACACTCACTGAGCTATACTTATATATCTGGAGATCGTGCTCTCGACGAAAGTGTGTGGCCAAAAACATGGCGGATTTGACGTCACAATCGACCTATTTTCATGGGGGTTTCCACTGACCCGTGGCTCGAATGTTCGTGGGCAACAAAGTTCAACCCCCTATACCGAACTTCTCTTGTTAAATTGTTAACAGGTATACAACCACAGAAATCACAAAGACAAATTACATTTATTTGTATAAAAATATAGAATTCTCACGCTCACAAATCACTTGTTTTGTTTTGTCTCGTCTCACATAATCTAATAATAAACGACCCCCCATCAACATGCTCTTAATGTTTCTTTTATGCAAACGTCAATCATGCTTACGTCACTTATATGGGAGGGTCCACTATTCCGTACACACTCCCCTAAAAATTAAAGTTTAATTTTTATAGCTTCAAAACCGAATATCAACGTATATATTAAATGTTCAGTCCTCTTCCAACTGCGTTAGTTCATTTATTTTCTTGATTGCTTTCTTTGCGGCTTGTCTCTGAGGTCTCTTTTCTTTCTCCGATTCCTTTTCTTCAACTTCTTTGTGTCGTTCGTTTGGTGTGCAGTGAATCTCAAGCGGACAGATCAACTGCAGTGGTCGTTCAATAGTATGCCCTTTGTGCAACAGCACAACTCCTCTGACTACACCGTCTTTTCCACGAACTTGTCGAAGCACTTTCCCTTTTTTCCATTCTCCCCTGTTCTTCTCCCACTACCAGGACAACGTCTCCAATCTGTGGTACTTCGACAACCTTGTTATTGACTCGTTGGCTCTCCAGTAAACTATGCACATATTCCCGCTTCCATCGTTTCCATGCATCATCTTTTGCTTTTCTAAGTCTTCTTTGCATCTTGGTTAGCTCGTCTTCTTCATCTTCAACATCGTCGAACATGTAAGAGTTTTCCCCCGAATGAGTATGTTTGGCGTCAGGACTTGTTCCTCCCCACCATCACATTCTACGTAAGTTAACGGACGGTTGTTCATGTTGCTTTCGATGTTCAATACGACCGATTCCAAACCTTCAAAGAATAGGTGTGATTTTCCCAAGGTTTTGTATAAGGTTTTCTTGATTTCACGAATCAGCCTCTCGTAGATGCCTCCCCACCATGGGGACTTTGCCTGATTAAATCTCCAATAGATATCTTGGGTTGCGAGGAAATCCTGAAGCTTCTCACTTTTTCGAATTAGCTTAGTCCACTTTGCAGTCGCTTTGAAAGTAGCAGCATTATCGGAAATCATCAAGCGAGGTCTTCCTCTACGTGCAATAAATGCGTTAAGTTTTCGCTGAAATTCACCAGCTTCTTGAGTTTTAGTTAGTTCCAAATGAACGGCTCTGCATGCAGCGCAAGTAAAGATTAGAACGTAACACTTTCCTTCTTCCTTTTTGTTGACCTTGTACCTTAACGGTCCGGCAAAATCCACGCCAGTGATCTCAAATAGCTTGCTGGTCTCAGTTCTAAATTTAGGCATGTTACTTGTCGCTGTCGCTCCGTATGGTTTCGTGGAGTACAGTTTGCAAACGTTGCAATTTTTTATCACCTTCTTTACCTTCGATCTTAGTTGAGGGATCCACCAGTTTTCTCGCAAGGCGGCCATTGTATTTGCAATGCCTAGATGCATAATTTGATTGTGTGTATGTGTGATAAGCTTCTCTGCAAACAATCCTCTTTCGATAAATGTTGGAGTATATCCCCGAACTCTTCCCCTGCATTTGAGAATGTTTGTGTTCTTATCTTCGAAGATTTTTCAGCCAGGTGCTTGTAGAGTTGGGTTAATATTTTTCTGAATCCTTATCACCCATGTATTCTTTGCTTTCACGATTTCTTCGTTTCCGATGGGCCCAGATTTTCTTTTCTCTTTACGCCGTTTCACCAGACAATTGTGCAGGAATCTCAGTGCCCACGCTGTAACTCTTAATGTGCGCCAATACGAAAAAAAGGTAAAAAAGACCTCCACCATGCTGGGTTTTCTCTCTTCGCTTACGTGTGTAGTAACCTTAAGCTGGGGTTGTTTGGGCCACTGTTCTACATGTAACAACTACTCAGGACCAGTGAACCATCCGTCTTTTACCACTTTCTCAATTGTAGCTCCCCTGCTGCCTAGATCCGCCAAGTTCTCACTTGATGGACAATACTTCCACACCAAACCAATCTCGTTGGTAATTTCTGCTATCTTCTTAACTCTATTAGCGACGAAAGTCTTCCAAGGCTTTCCAGGGTTACTTAACCAGTAAAGCGCGACCATACTGTCCATCCAGATGATGGTAGACTTAACAGGCAATCGCAGTAGCGCATGGTATAAATTCCTTGCCATGTTCGCCGCCATTTGACCACTCACAAGTTCCAACCTCGGTATTGTGGTGTTCTTTTTGGAAATTCGAGATTTGGACGTTAACAGACCTTTCACAGTTCCTGATTTGTGCTCTACCACTGCGACTGTTGCTGCACAGCAAGCAAGGTTACTAGCGTCTGCAAACAAATGGAGTTGAATGCCTTCAATCACGTCCGATTTCTTAGTTATAGCTCTAGGAACTTTAACATTCTTCATTTGATTGTTCCATTTGATCCACTTTCTTTTCAAGGATTCTGACACTTCAGCGCTCCAACCTTTTCTTTCTTCACAGGCATTTCGAAATATGTGCTTACCCTCAGCCATGGTAGGCGATACCATTCCCAAAGGATCGTAGACTCTTCCCAACCGACTCAAAATGCTCCTCTTTGTTACTGGTTGGTTCTCAGGCATAGTTGCTGCTTCGAATTCTAATGTATCTTCTTGTTTATCCCAGACGTGTCCGAGTATTTTACTTGGATTTGGCATGTTTTCGTCTTCGAGGCACGCGATGTTTGATTCCCACTTGTGGATTGGGAATTTGGCATCCTCAAGAATGATGGAGCTTTCTTCTTTAAATTTCCTCAAGTCGTCAGTATCACTTCCAGTTTTCATGATGTTATCAACATATGTATTCTCTTTAAGAGCTGTCATAGTTTCCTCAAATCTTGTCGGCTGTTGCTCAAGGTGGTATCTTGAGACCTGAGATGCCTAAAACTCAAGAAGCTTGTGAATTTCAGCGAAAACTTAACGCATTTATCGCACGTAGAGGAAGACCTCGCTTGATGATTTCCGATAATGCTGCTACTTTCAAAGCGACTGCAAAGTGGACTAAGCTAATTCGAAAAAGTGAGAAACTTCAGGATTTCCTCGCAACCCAAGATATCCATTGGAGATTTAATCTGGCAAAGTCCCCATGGTGGGGAGGCATCTACGAGAGGCTGA